GTACCGTTGGCCTTCCTGTGGGTCGTGGCTCACCCGCAGCCTCGCTCTTGTCTCTGCAGCAATGGCAGCCATCAGAAAGAAGCTGGTGATTGTGGGAGATGGCGCCTGCGGGAAGACCTGCCTGCTGATCGTGTTCAGCAAGGACCAGTTCCCTGAGGTCTACGTGCCGACAGTCTTTGAGAACTACATCGCTGATATCGAAGTAGATGGAAAGCAGGTAACTTTCCTGGGGGTCTCAGGCCACCTGCGCTTGTCTAGCGCCTGTATTCCCAAGCCATGGACAATCTCCGCACGAGGGACCGTGTGCTCGGCAGATCTGCTCACTTCCCCTCTGGAATGTTTGTCATGTGCGCTCTTCCCCTCCATCCCCCGCTTCCTGCTAAGCCGTCTGTCGAACGGCTAAACTCATCCACCTGTCCTGATGCTTTGGCCATGGCAGCCTGGCTCCTCAAGCCCTGTGCCAGGCATTGCTGTCGAGACTATTCGAGGTCTTGGCTATTGACTGTTTTTCTCCAGGACTTCCGAGAGGAGGAAGCCTTTCAGTGGGGGAGGAAGAGAGAAGCAAAGGCCGACAGGCTGCTTCCAGCAATGCTCTCCTCTGCTGTGAACTGCAACCCAGCATGCAGTGGCAAGCTCAGCAGGGTGCCTGTCCCTCTCAGGGATTGCTGGAGCCCCTGACCTGTAAGCAGAGAACTCAGTGACACGCTCCCTGATTAGGAGAATCCTCCAAAGGAGACCATGCTCCCCACCTGCCCGAACCCAGACACCCGTAGCTCCCCAGTCAGGCTGGCTATGGAGAAGCATTGCTCCCTTTGGAGTAGACTTGGCTTTCCAGGCCGTTTTGCAGCTGGTGATATAGCGCAGGGGGGTTCTTGAAGGTATTGCTGTACAGCAGCCCCATAAAATATCCTGCATAGCTACACTATCAATTACTGGGCCCACAGACGTGGATTAGGGAGCGGGCGTTGCCTGGTCACCTTTAAATCTACCAGAATTAGCAAAGCAACTTAATTGTCTTAACGGAGAAAAATGAATTGCTTCCCTGCCGGAGAGAATTGCCATCATTACAGCATGAGGTGGTTTGGGAGGGTAGGGGGTCATCTGTTATGCTGCTGACGTCTTTAAATCTCTCCTCCTCTAGGTGGAACTGGCCCTTTGGGACACGGCGGGGCAGGAAGACTATGACAGGCTGAGGCCCCTCAGCTACCCAGACACGGACGTTATCCTCATGTGCTTTTCCATCGACAGCCCAGACAGTCTAGGTAGGATCACTGGGGCCAGGGTAACAAACGTGGGGTTTAGGAACTAGAGTGAACTTCACCCTTATGCACAAGGCAACTTGATAGGTGGGTGGGCCTCGTGCTGCTGGCCCTCTGCGCAGGGGTTTAGTTCACTCTAAACAGGACTATTAACATCTTCTTCCAAAACCGTTAAGCACAGGCTTGGATTGAGAGCACTCTGCTTGCAGTCTGCAGAGATGAGTCTGGCCAAAAGCCTAGAATAGCCTTGAGAGGAACAGAAAAGTTCTTGTTAGCAAACAAACTCAGCACTCAATAGACTTCGAATGTCACGGCATCACTCCTGCCTGGCTTCTGTAAGTCAGCTTCTTCCTCGTGCACTTCTCCAACAACCTCCTCAGCTGTGAAATAAATAGAGCCCTGTCAAAATAGCTCCATGCCCTTTCTGCGTCCATTCCCTCTGCAGCACCTTGGTGCAAACCCGAGTGGGTAGAGAGGAGTCTTACACTTGACAACGTAGGTGTTGACGGATTCGGGTATTGTTCGGCAGTGTCGGGGCGAATTCCAGCGGATACGCTGCCCTGGCTTTCGGGGATAGGGCCTGGTGGCCAAAGTGCTTTAGCCGTTCTTGACAACGGCTGGGGCTCCTGAAGAGAGCAGTGTGTCGGAGCTAGCCCTAGTTGCTTGCCAGTTCTTGATTTCAGTCTGGTCTCCCCTGTAGCCAAAGGGCGTATCATGTGCTCTCTGTCCTGCTCTGGGCTTCAGCCAAAACCTACCCTGCTCTTATACATAGTGCGTTTGCTTACGCTGCTAGAAAGAGAACCCAGAAGATGAGGCCTGCAGTCAACCCCGAACTCCCACCAGCCCCTTCTGCAGCCTGCCGTATGTGATTAGAGTGAAACCTGCATGAGCAGAAAAGCAGATACCTTGTGGCACTTCCGCTCTGTTCTCAGGCCCTCCCTGCCCAACAAATTCCTGGCTTTCGGCAGGATTGTAGTGTCTTTTCACAGCCCACAAGAAGGCCGTAGGAAAGTAGAGCCAGGAGCACAGTTTTGCCAGCAAACCAGAACTCCGTTGCTAAATCTAGTATCCAGTCTGGTTGTCTTGACACTGTAAAGATCTAGTCCAAACCAGTGAGAGCTAGGAGAGCTGGTGTTCATGCTGAAGAGGATCTCTGTGCTGAAGACAACACGATTCTGCTCCTCTCCTACCTGCTGCGCTTGCAATGTGTAATTCACATGCTGGCCATGTCTTCGTTAAAGCGGGTATGTTGAGGGGAATTCTGACCCCCATTTCTGGCTGGCTGCGGCTCTCCCTGACCCTGGATGTTTCACGGCAGATGATCTTCTTCCTTTGACACTTTTTCATAGTAAAGAAAAAGAAACTGTTGTGTAACTTGTTTGTGTCAACTTCAATCGCTGCTAAGGCCTTGTCTGCACTCAAGAATGGCCCCAATTCAGCAACTGGTGTCACTGCATCATTGCTGAATCAGGGCTGTTCATGAGCGTAGATAAGGCCCAAATCTTCATGCTGCCATCTCAGTGAGTTGATGTGCTCGGCAGGTTTAGGCAGAGGCTTTGAGAGAAGATAGTTATGAGGATGTTCCCCAGAGTGGTCTCTGCTTGGTACAGTGTCTCATCAGTTGCTTGGGAGGGAGGAGGGGGGCTGCCAGTGGATTCTCTGGACCGAGGAGGAGTTTGCTGCCTTGGTGCCATTGGCAAGAGACGTCCCCTCCTCCATGCTCATGAGTGAACAATTGTCTGTCACAGCTGTGATTACAGCTCTTGCTAAACCACCCCATTTGGCTTGCAGGCCTGTGCATGATCGTACCACATCCTCCTCAAGTGCCCTTCAGTACTATCCATCAGGGAGAAAGGGACGACAATGCTCCTTTTCACAAGGAAATAGTGGCTAATTGCAAATGATGCTGCCCCTCTACCAGCTGGAATCAACACCCTTGGCAATCAGACCCCATGGATGTTTGTTCCCTTCCCCCCAGCTCCTTGGCATGGTCTCGCTCTTTGAAGGCCCTTCTGTTTGCCATGTTTGTAGGGGTGTCATCAGCAATGCTGCTGGGGTTTGGGTGGAGATTTTCCTTCACGCTTTTTTGAGCAGTGTCCATGTGGAGGGGTGTAGGACCCAGCCTCTCTGCCAATGACACAGCAGTCAGGGCATGCAAATAAGGCTCTCACTGTATCTCCGTCCTATGCAGCTCAGCGGTATACAATTTCTCCAGGAAAGAACCTAAAACATTTGCCTCTTTTAATATCCGGGGAACATCGTAGGAAGGCAGCCGTGGTAGCCTGGCCTGCAAGGGGGCTGTTGTGTACTTTGTACAGCTCAGTGCAAATTCCTTAACTGTGCTTGGCTTTCCCAGAGAACATTCCTGAGAAGTGGACTCCGGAAGTGAAACACTTCTGCCCCAACGTGCCTATCATCCTGGTCGGAAACAAGAAGGACCTACGGAATGATGAGCACACCCGGAGGGAGCTAGCAAAGATGAAGCAGGTAAGGGGGCGACATCACCTCTAGCTGCGATGCCAGCATCCCTTAAAGGAAAGCAACACATCTGTGCAGACACGCGTGCTCTTCCGGCTGTGCTGCGTATCCCCATGGCAACCGCAGTGCATGTGGGGTCAGGCGTGTTCTGTGGGGATAAGTCAGGCCTGCAGCTATTTGTAACTTCCTCTTACAGAGAGCCCTGGAGCCTTTCCTGCATTCAGGGGTAGAGGGTGGTCGCCCATTGAGAGCAGCTTCCTCTGCACGAGGCAGTGGAGATCCCTGCTACGCAGTAACAGGGCAGTCCCTCGGCTCAGCCCAGACTGACCTGCTGATGCCTTTTCCTGCTGTGCAATTACTCCTACAGAGGTTTACTGGCTGCTGCTGCCTCCAGTTCCTGAGAGATGCCGGATACTAAAGCATTTCCAGAGACAATCCTAGCTTCTCTTTCGAAGAGGGAGGCACTCAGATAGGAGTAGTCATGGTTGTATCAGTACCTCGAGATGCTGAGCCTCCCTGACTGCACGTCTGGCCTGCTGCACTGGTGCTTAACTCAGCGTTCTAAAAGCTTTTTCTTTCATGACTCTTAGGAGCCAGTGAAGCCAGAGGAAGGGAGGGACATGGCTAACAGAATCAACGCCTTTGGATACCTCGAGTGCTCCGCCAAGACGAAGGATGGCGTGCGGGAAGTCTTTGAGATGGCCACTCGGGCCGGCTTACAAGTCAGGAAAAACAAGAAGCGTAAAGGCTGCCCACTCCTGTAAAGCAGCAATGCCCGTGAAGAATGTGACTGCCATCTGTACTGTATCTGTCTTTTCCTGCACCCCCACGTGTGTGAGAATGGGGTACAGGATGGGAAGAGCGCTGTTAGGTCTGATGTCTAGAGAATATAATGTGGCCTGCACCCCGCTGCCCAAAACCCACTACCTGAAGCACATATGGGGAGGTGTCTAGTGGTGCTTCTCTGTGCCATGCGTGGACTGTCCTCCTAAGCCGGTCCTGGGCTCTGAAGGGCCAAATGTCTTTGGACCATCTTTGGCAGACACTTCTGTTTTGTATACACCATACAGTGCATTTGAGTAGCTCTCGGTGTTGTACTTCAGTCCCATTTTATACTAATCCCTCATCCCCTGTTCCTGTCTGATGCTCTGTACAGATTCTCTGCAATATTTAATCTCTACTTTCATACTGTTCGATTAGAGCAAAATAAGGAAGCTCTGACACAGTCTGCCTGTGGGTGTGTGTTCCTGTCCTGGCATCCTGGTTCTGTTTTCTTGAACTCTTGCTTTGTCTCCAAGCCAAGATGTTCAGCTGCTCCTGCTCCAGGGGGGGTTGGATTCTCCCTCTGGTTAAGGTGTACAGCACACCCACCAGCATTTTGTACACAGATTCACCAAGGCAGTCTCTGTTCTGTCTGTACTCAGGGCCTTGCCCTATTCCACCAGTGCTTTGCAAGGAGCTGTGCTCTGCTACTGTCAGAAATGCCTTCTGCTGCGCTTTCACCTTGGACCTGCACTGTGGTAGTGTCTTCTTATCCTCTTTCAATAAAGTAAGGCCTTGTAAAATAACCCTTGGCTGGGTCTTTTTCTTACACACTGATGTTTGCCTTGACGTTTGAGTCCACCTGTAAATTAAAATGCATAGTTGGGAGAATAAATGCAAATTGGTATTTTAATAACTGTAACTTAGCGCCTGTGCACCATTATTCTGCCCCATGCATGCAGACCTCTCGGGTCTCCTGCTCTCCTCTCCACTAGCTTCCTGGGGATGTCCTTCAGTTATCCCCATGCCATGCAGCTGGGTTGAGGGGCTAGAGCAGGGAGTTGCCAGTCAGGACTTCTTGGTTCTTGTGGACGAAATTCCATGGTTTTGTCCATAACTTGCTGTGTGGCCCTTAGGCACTATGCCTCCTACCTTGGTCACCTGTTGGCAAAATAAGAGTCAGAACTACTTGCTTCACAAGATGGGGCGAAGCATCATTAACACACTCTGAGCGCCTTGCAAAAGGCCTGGAGAGGGGCAAAGGCTGCCTATTGCATCTTTCAGTTTCTTTCAAGCTCTAGTTCTAATAGCCCTGCTTGACTGACCGAGGCAGATTCCCCACCTCTGCCCTCTTGGGACAAGGAGAGGATGCCTCGCTATAACTAAGATGGGAGGGACACTTTCAGGGAGGGAGGCGTGAGGATTATACATCCCCTGCCCGTGCATGGGGTTGAGCACTTTGGGTACGTTAAGGAAACTGAGCAGTTGAGCTACTCTGGGGAGGTGAATTCCACAATGATGAAATGCAAAAGGAAATGTCAGGAGTGGTTTGGTCAGAGTCCTGTGAACACTGTTCCAAGCTGGCCATAGGAAATGGGGTGGCTCAACTTTCTTCCCTAAGAAGGGGTGGGTGTGTGTGTGTGTTCGTTCTACACAGCTAACAGCAGTTCTCTTCTGCAAAACCTCATGCTGATTCTCGGCTGGGAACTCCCCTCAGTACTCCAGGGGTTTCTGCAGTGGAATTTCACCCAATGCTCACATGAGACAGGGAAACTGAAATCTCTTCCCTTTTCTGCACTTGGAAACTTTCTACAAAACCAAACCCGACTTTTGCACTGATAAAAACATTTTGATAGTCAAAACATTTTGTTATGATTTTGACTTTGTTTCAAAAAATGATTGATTAAAAAAATGAGCAGTTCCATGTTGATGTCAGTTGGGACATTTTGGCACGATCACAACACTTCATTCTGACATTTTCTAAATAAAATTTCACCAGCAGCTGCATTCCGGCAGATAGTTTTGTTTTTGTAAAATGGCATTTGCTGATTGAAACCCGCTCTGGGAATGTTCTGTACACACTCTAGAAATGCTACCTAGCTCCCCGCCACTGAGGAGGGGGAGCAAATGCACATGTACGTTCAGGCCGTGCAAATAGACCTGAAGCATCCTGATGCTGTCGCCTGCTTTCATCATGAGGCTGAATGTTTGGAAGAGGTCAGGTTTAGAGTAGGGGATCTTTGGGCACTAGGAATTTGTCCTCTCGGTTTAGAGTAGGGGATCTTTGATGGGATTTTCAGGCACTAGGAGTTTGTCGTCTCTCCTCCCTCTGAGCAGAGAGAAGGGGGATGTTTGAAATGAAGACATACCACATTGCAGCATGCCCAGAAAACACCTTGGGGAACAGTACAGCCCTTTCTGTTGCCCTGTCCTGTTGGTGGCCAGCAGGAGTGGAGACAGAAAGCAATACAAATGCCTAGTAAGGCAAACCTGATAGCGTTGCGTGTCTGCTGCACTGGTGAATGCCCTCTCAGTGCTGGGTTACTCGCCTCCCCTGCCCATTTGGGGGCTAATTATTTGTGAACGGTCTGAGATGCCCCTGATTGCTCACCCCTCTCTGGTTTTGGAGCCTGTTCCCACAGAGCAGCACTTGACAGGGTCTTAGCAGCACATTCCTAGCCTGCGGCAGGCCATGCACAGCTCCTCTAGGGCCATGAGCGAAGGAAAGAGACCATGTGCTCTACAACTGCTGCTCTCAACATAAACCTCCCATGAGCCAAAGCCTCTTACCAGCAAGGATCTCCCCACACTGCTGAACTGGAGCTGTGAGAGCAGCAGTGACCAGACTTTAGCCAGTCACAGCACACTGCAGTGGGGCTCGCTGCCAGTGGGAGGACCCAAGGTGGGCTGGTATGGTCCCTGCTGAAGTCCCTGCTGTCAGTACCCTGCGAGTTCAACTATGGCTACAGGTGCTGCAGTTACACCAGATTGCAGCATAGACAGGCCCTTCCCCTTTCACAAGTCACCACTGTTAGTCATGAGAGTGACAATGAATTGGACAGCTGATGAGCCTTGATGCTTGACAGATGGTGCTGTAGTCAACATGCTTGTCCTTTAACAAGTGGGACTTCTCTAGTTGCAGACAGGGAACTGCTGTGACCAGCCCATCATTACACACAAGGTGGAAAAACCCGTGCCCCTTCCCCTTACAGCCACTTCAAGTCCTTCTTCCTAACACCCTCCCCCGCCTTTGAGACAAAGGCTTTGGGTTCCAGCTGAGCCCCAGAGGAGTGATGTAGCCAGCCAGCCTGGGAATCCCTGACCAGACTCTGAACTCCCTCACACAAATAGCTCCAGCCAATGAGAAAAGCCAGGAGATGCACCAGAGCCTAGCCCTGCGTAAGGAAAACACTCCCCGTGCCCGCTTTGTGTCTGCCTGGCAGGCAATCAACCAGCAAGGGAAGAGGCTGGGCTCAGCTGGTGGTGCCTCATTCAGCACCCCGGGCTACCCCTGCACCAGCTGCTCCCATAATTCACTAGCTGAGTTATGGGGCTGTGAATGGCACAAAGAGCAGCGTTCTCAGCCCCAGACAGAGCATGAACCGCAGCTGAGCGGGAGGGAGGCAGAGAGATTCTCTCAGGCAGAGACAATGCCGGGAAGGGACAGTTGAACACACCCGGTGACATGACTCTTGCCTACCTTACCTCTGCCCCTGCCATGAGCCCAGGTTTATCTCCTAAGCCTCTTGAGACTCCAGGAAGGGGGAACATACTGGCCCCCAACTTGACCCTTCCCCAGCTTCGTATTATCCCTCCCCTGTAACAATCCCCTGCCGTGGCTTCTGCCAGCAGCATTGTGCTCCACATGCAAATCCGGCTCCCCCGTCCCCTGGAAACGGTGCCCAGCCGCCCGGGCCAGCTGAGACATTGCTTTAGCGCTGTACAGACAAGCACCAGTGGTTTCCTCACCCTTTATTTTGGAGCACCATCGAACAGCTTGCCTGCAGGGCAGTGCACGGGGCCTGTTGGCCAGGGAGCTACAGCCCACCTGGTCCCCCTGTGCTAACTAGCAGTTAGTCAGCATCACAGCAACACCTGAGCAGGGCTGTAGCCAGCCACTCGGCAGCGGCTCCAGGCCCTGCAGCTGGGCTGTGGAAATGGCTCTAGTTCGCAGGAGAGTGTTCGGTTGACCAGGAGCTGGGAATTTGATTTTCAAAAGCCGGTCTCCACGTGTGGAAAACGTGATCCAAGGTGGAAGTTGTCTCTCCGTCGCAGCGTCGCTGGTGTCTGCAGGGCTGGTTTGGGCCGGTCAGGTTCGCCACGCAGTGGGAATTTTTTTTATTTATTTTTTTTAAAAAGAGTCTTTTCCCAAAAATTGGATGTAAAATCGTTTAAACCATTGGGTGGCAATGTTGGCAAACAGGCAGGGCTTCCTGCTGCGGCTCCCCTTCCCCACAGTGGCCAGAGAGGGGACGGGGAGAGACGGTGCAAACAAACCCCTCACACGGCCAAGCGGAGCAGTTTCCGTCTCGAGCTGCCCTTGTGCTTCCAAGAGTTACACAATCGCACTGGCTCAGGTTAGCGAGCAGGCCCCAGGGCTGGGCCCAGACCCTACAGGGAGGAGCCTACATGGACCAGACGAGGGCAGAGGTGGGTGCCAGGCTAATGGGTAGGAGACGGGGCTGAATCCATGTGAGAGGTGGACGTTGGGATAGTGGGTAGAGTCGGGGCTATGCTCCCAGTTCAGTCCTTGCACCGTTCCCCTCCTCTGCCCCACCCCATGCGCTTGGAAAGCTCCCGTCAGTGAGCGAGGTGGCTGAGGGGACCAGACAGAGGGCAAAGGGCAGTTGCTGAGCGAGGGAGGAGATGCCCTGCTGGTGCTGACATGGCAGTAGGATGAACTGCAGGCGATGCCTCAGTGCTCGTGTCTCCACTCCGGCTCCACTTGCTGCTGGATGTGGCTCTCCCCGAGCTGGTTCCCTGCAGAGAGACGCCGGCCGGCTGTGAGAGGGGGACCAGAGCAGCGCCCAGGCAGGCTGGGGGTGGGGAGCAGGGCAGCGTCTGCGTAGGGCACAGGAGGGGGAGAGCAGAGCCCCCCCTCAGCTCCCTCCTTTCTCCGGAAGCAGGTCAGGGCTGGTGGCAGGGGCAGGAGCCTGCAGTCGCCCTGAGAGATCCCAAAGAGGTGCGGCAGCGGCATGGACGCTCTCCTGAGGCTGCCCACAAGGGGGCGCCAGTGCCAGGCTAAAGGGGGATTCTGGGAAGTGAATGCCTGGCCAACGCTTGTCTGCTTTGCATAAAGTACACCTGTGCCCCCCAGCCCCCGCTGCTCCCCCCACACAGGCTGAGCCTTTCAGCGGGACACCAGCAGAGGGCATGACTGAGCTACAAGTCATGCCACTGGGTCTCAAAATGCCCTTGCAGCCAGGCCATATCCCACCCCCCGCAGAGCTGGGGAGAGGGCTGCCCTGTTGGACCCAGGCTGGGTGCAAGCTTGTGCTGCTCTCACCTGCTGACTGTGTGCTCAAGTGAAGGGAGCTAAGCTCCTCCAGAAGGATATCCTCTTCCAGGCTCTCTTCAGCGTAGGGGCACCCCGTGTAGCCACCCTTCGCTGTACAGTACCTGAGAAACCTGCAGGTACAACCAAAGGTGTCCATTAGCCCTAGGCACGGCCCTCCTCCTCAGCGACTGAGCCGTGCAGGGCAATGCTACCCTTTCTGTCCTAACTACGGGGGCAGAAGGGTGACACCTTGGCTAGGATTTCACCAGGCCCCAGCACTCATCCCTCGCTTACAGAAAGTGCCCTGGG